ATGGATGTAGTCTATGATTGAGTTGAGTCGCATCCAAGATGAAGAAGTTGGAGATGGAACAACATCTGTCATCATTCTTGGTATGTTTTTAGCATATGTAGATGCTTTATTTTTTAATGTTGAATCTTCATTTAATGCTAGACCTTGTGTCATCCTACTCTGGAAATCTTTTTAACGATTGATAATGTGATTATGAAATTGAAACCAAACGACAAATGTTTCACAAATCAGCTTTGCTGCATTATGCATGGTTTAGTAATAATTCACGAATCATGACTGGTGGATTCTAGATTTTTTGTGTACTTAATGGAGGGCAGATCTTTATTTGATTTATTGGGCTGTATGTTGTCTTTTCCCCCCTTTGCAGCTGGTGAGATGCTTCATGTTGCTGAAGCACTCATAGATAAGAATTATCATCCTACAGTTATTTGCCGAGGTAATCTGTCTATAAGTATTTATCTATGGTTCTTTTCTAAAAGGATACCAGATTGTATATGGCGAGCTGATGACTTAATAATGTTATCTGCAGCTTATAACAAAGCTTTGGAGGATGCCATTGCTGTCCTTGACAAAATTGCAATGCCTATTGATGCCAAGGATCGTAAGTTTTGTTGCTACTTTTTTAAGGAGGGAAGGTGGGTAACATCTCTTATTCATAATGATTTGGAGTAATATGCAGTGAGCAGAGCCTTTTCAATAATATGCACTGCTGGTTTGTAGAAAAGTGTCCAAGTAGGTTGTTTAAATAGTTTGCAAGAGTTGGGACCTGATAACTTTTAGGATCTTCCCTATGTGTTGTAACATAATAATAAACCGATAAGGCTATGGATAAACAAAAAATTGCATTATTAACAAATGACATTGTTTTCTTGTTGATTTTGTGAATTAGTGCCTCTGTTATTTTAAGAATGGCTTAGTTGATGCTGCTTAAAGGCAGATAAAGATCAGCATGTCCTTTTACCTACCACGGGAATTTCTAGATTAAGCTTCTTGACTGCCTGTTTGATAGATTTTCTTTTAAACTTTTGGGGGTTATTTCATCTAATGGGATGGACTCATTAATGTCGTAGAGAAGATAAGTAAATATAAATACATAACTACCTATATTCCTGTTCTTCTTTGATATACAATCTTAATGTGAATAAAACTGCAGGAGGTACAATGCTGGGGCTTGTCAAAAGCTGCATAGGTACCAAATTCACTAGTCAATTTGGGGATTTAGTTGCCGTGAGTATCCTCCACTCCATGGGCTATATTTTTAAATTTGTCTTCTTTGTTCTTTGAACTTTATCTATTCTGACTTATGAAAATTCAGTGCACGAAGCTCCCACCTAGTTGGGATTGGGGAGGATGGGTGTGTGCAACCTTACCCTAAATTTTTAATATCCCAAATAAAAAGGCATTATCCTTTGAAAGGAAAATGTATCAATTTTGCAAGTTGTCAAGCTTACAGTTTCTTTAATCTGAAATGAAAATTTTCTGCACAAACTTGAGTTCCTTAGTTACTTTAATAATTACAATTTGTTTATGTTAAGGTTTTGGCATCTAGTAGGGGTCGGGTTATCTTCATATAATTATTAGGTGGGCCTATTGAATGACTGAGGTATCTCATCTATGCATTTATAGCTCTAGTCTGATTTCTTCCTGTATAAAATTTGTCCAGATACATGCAAACGTAACAAATAAATTAGCGTCAAAATGTTTGTGTTATTCCTGTTCTTCATTTGTCATTTTCTGCTAGTGAATAGGATTTTAATTTTATGCAACTGTGAGTGTATTACATATTCTACTTTGGTTAACTTTCAGGATTTAGCTATTGATGCTACTGCCACAGTAGATATTGATCTTGGCCAAGGTTTGAGAGATGTAGATATTAAAAATTATATTAAGGTTGAGAAGGTCCCTGGTGGGCAGCTGGAGGATTCAAGAGTTCTTAAAGGAGTTATGATAAACAAAGATGTGGTTGCCCCTGGCAAAATGAAAAGAAAGATTGTTAATCCACGAGTCATTCTTCTTGATTGTCCCCTTGAGTATAAAAAGGGTGAAAATCAAACAAATGCTGAAATGCTCAAAGAAGACGACTGGAGCCTCTTGTTGAGGATGGAAGAAGAATACATTGAGGAGCTCTGTATGCAGATATTGAAGTTTAAACCAGATTTGGTGATTACAGAGAAAGGCCTTAGTGATTTGGCGTGTCATTTTCTGAGTAAGCATGGAGTAAGTGCAATCAGAAGGCTGAGAAAAACCGACAACAATAGAATTGCTAAAGCATGTGGTGCTGTTATTGTGAACAGACCAGATGAATTACAGGAGTCTGATGTTGGTACTGGTGCTGGGTTATTTGAAGTTAAGAAGATCGGAGATGAATTTTTTGCATTTATAGTTGAATGCAAAGACCCTAAAGCTTGCACTGTACTATTGAGGGGTGCTAGCAAGGATCTCTTAAATGAAGTTGAAAGAAACCTCCAGGTAAGCTGTTGATTTCTACATAAAGCCTGTGTATTTGATCAATGCTTTATGAAATTTTTCCCATGACAGGATGCCATGTCTGTAGCAAGGAACATAATAAAAAATCCAAAACTTGTTCCTGGGGGTGGTGCTTCAGAGTTGACTGTATCAGCGACATTGAAGCAGAACAGTTCATCCGTTCAAGGTATAGAGAAGGTGAGTGTAATAGTCATTGTTTGTACTTTGTCTACCAGTTCTATTTTTTGTCTCATAGCAGTAGCTTACTCTGATTCTTATTTTCATGTTCTTGTTGACTAACAGTGGCCTTATGAAGCTGCTGCCATTGCTTTTGAGGCGATTCCTCGAACTTTGGCACAAAACTGTGGTGTAAATGTCATCCGCACTATGACTTCACTACAAGGAAAAGTAAGAATGGAGAAAATGTTAACAGTTTTAGATGATTCTTTATCTGATTATGTTTGACACTGTGTTTTTGGAATTATAGCATGCAAATGGTGAAAATGCATGGATCGGCATAAATGGAAATACTGGTGACATCGCTGACATGAAAGAGTGCAAGGTGCTTTTATTTTCTTTTATTTGTATATATCATTCAAATGACTGCCAAATCCAACAATTACCATTTTGCCCACCAAAGTGAGTCATTATTATAAAATTGAATCCAACATATTTCAGTTATTCCCAGAAGACATAACAGAGTGAAAACAAATCCTTTTTTTCTTAATCTTCCATTGCTTCCCTCCCCCACTTATACAAGATTTACATTCTCCATATCTTGTTTCTATGATTACTTTGATAATCATTGGTGATTGAATGAATTCTAAAGATGTTTTGTTCTAATATTTTAGATCTGGGATGCATACAATGTAAAAGCACAAACATTTAAGACTGCCATTGAAGCTGCTTGCATGCTTCTGCGGATTGATGATGTAGTGAGTGGGATAAAGAAGAGGCAGGCCCCTGGAGCAGGCCAGGCTCCTTCAAAGCCTAAGGTTGAGACCGAGGCAGATGCTGACAGTGAGCAAATTCTACCTGATTGAGAACATAGCTGAACTGACTGATTTTTGACACGAAGAGTAAGATGTGCTAGGGTCTTGTTGGGCATTTATAAACTGTTTGTGGACGGTAAATATAGCATTTGCTTTATTGACTGTTCATCTCTCAAGTTGAGATTTTGTACAAATGCCACGGTAAAATTGTTCGGTTTCACGAATTGGAAGGTTGCGGGGTTTCTGACTTAGTTGTGAAATCAGTTTCTATCCGTGAACTTGAAGCACCTAAAGTCTCGGTATTTTATTGGTTCAATGTGTTCATGAGCTATGCAGGCTAGCAATACCGTGACTCCTTTCACTGAATTGGCACAAACCCAGGGTCCGCACAATTATTTAACAATCATATGTAAGCAGTAAACACTCCGACAAAATTATTTTAAATGTTTTTTTGGTTAGGTACGTAGTCAGTACTAGTTGGAAAATTTTATTAAATATATTATCATGTTGAAAGGCAATTACGAAATAGTTGTTCTCAGCGCATGGCGTTGATTCCTGTAAAGGACTTGGTGATACGGAGTAAGATTTTCCTTAATGAAACATGCTGATATTCCAATCGTATTTTTATACCCATAAACGGAGGATAGAAATTTGTATAGGAATGCCTTTTCACGCATGATTTCCCCGAGCATGTAACATAGTAAGCAATAACTTCCCAAGAAATATAGTAAGCATAATCTCTTTCTTGTATAGAAATTCACAAGAAATATAGCAAGCAATAATTTCCCCAAGCATGTAACAATTGAATGGAAATGTTAAATGTATCAATTTTCAAGGCATTTTTTTAAATTAATTAATTAATTTTTATTTTATAAAAAATAGTAACCATACTAGCTTGTTGACTTAATCAAATTCTCTAGTTGACAATGCCTTTAATAATTTTCTTTTAAAAGGAAAACTCTAACAAATAGAATAACAATTCAAAATATAAGCAAAAAAAGTACAGAGAACTCCTTGGACGCAAACCCCTTTTTTAACTACGTGGTTACTCACAATATCAAGCATTTATTAATTACTCGTCGATTTGTCTTTAAACTCAATTACTTAATTTATTGGAGTAAAGAAGTTTGTTAATTTAATTGATAAAATTAAAATTTTAAAATTATATATATATATATATATATATATTATTTTTTATTTTATTTTTCCTGATATTACTCGTAATAATAATGAGGCTTACTCTTCTAACTAATTGAATTAAAAGAAACTACCCTAAGAACATTTTTTAAAAAAAATATAATTAATGTTGATGCCAAAGTCATTTTAAATTGATTCCTATAAAAAAAAAAATCTAAAGGATTACAAATTATTTCCGAATCCAAGAGAGTACATTAAACCACCCATATCAGCCTTTTTGATCTATGGACGGTAACCAAAAATTGAAATAAAAGATCACATACAATTAAAAGAAATTACTCTGATAACATTTTTTGTAAAAATAAATAATTAATGTTGATGCCAAAGTCATTTTAAATTGATTCTTATAAAAAGAAACTTAATGGATTACAAATCATTTCCGAATCCAAGAGAGTACATTAAACCACCCATATCAGCCTTTTTCATCTATGGACGGTAACCAAAAATTAAAATAAAATATCACATACAATTAATGGAAACCACCATTCTTGATTGAAATGTGTTCTATTTTAGAAGACAAACTATCACAAACTGTTTACCAGGCAAAACTGACAACAAAAAGATCTTAGCAACAAGCAGTACATCGTATAAAAAGTGACCAAATTTTAGACATAAGTATCAATGAGTGATTTTCTCATCTCATCCACAATGGCACTAGGTTGGGCTTCTCTCAGTTTGAAAACACTCTCAATCACAGAGAGCTCTGTTGCTGTGGTGTCTGATCCACAAAATGCTGTCCAATCATTTACTGTCATGCCAGCAGCTATTACTTCACTGCCACGATTGACGGTCCCGGCAACTAAAGGAACCTGAAGAAGTGTAGAAAGTTCATCCAAGTCTTCAATGGAAGTGTGAGGGTGGACCTGCAAAAAGTATGGTCACAATATAGTACAAATATTTTAAAATCAGGATATACAAGAAGACATGTCTTGTACTTACCAAACCACCTCTGTTGGAGAATGCACAGTAACTGCCAACAAGAATATTACCCGCAATTGTCTGCCTAAAAACTTCTACTCCAAGAACATCTGCAATCATCTCCTCAGTTTCCTGAATAATAATTAAGCAAGAAAAGAATGATGATCCAATAAATAAAAAAATTGGGGGTGGAGGTGGCTGGGGGATAAATGGAAGTGTGTAAAAAATAGAAACTCTCATGAGACATAAACTCCATCACAATATCACAATAAGGGAACAGTTTTGATGGGAGACAGTAGCCTTGATGTAAGGGCATTTACTAGATGTCACCTTCCAATATAATTGAAGTTCAAAGTAAGGATTTGTTTAATTCAGAAAACCAGCAAGAGTTACTCTACAGCTTCCTACATTATCTTCAGGTTTTCCTCACCATTTTTAATTCAATGCCAACAAAAAGGCCTAAGGTTTTATAGCTATTCAAATAAGTTTCTTTTCCTTTCTGATAAAGACTGAAGTACTTGGATTATATAGAAAATACACAACCCTGAACGGCTGAACCCAAATCCTTATTCATATGAAAAATGACTTTTCCAGGTCACACAAATTAGTGGTCAAATTACCTAGTCTTACCCAACATGACAAAACTTTTCAATGAAAATTTGTCTACGCCTTTTGAAAAGTATTTAAAGTTTTCATGAGTAGTGGTCATAACCTAATAATTTAATTTAGGATTAAGCTCGTACAAAGTGATAAAGTTTGTGAAGTTAGAACGCAGGGGTGCATCCACCCTTGAGTTGAAGTGGCTTAAATTTATGTGATACTATAATTCAAATCAAGGTCACATACATCTTTATGTTTTCACATTAGACACTTTCTTACCTTAGGGGAGTCAAATTAAAAAATTTAAATGATCAGATTCATAATGACAAACACCAGGTATGTGATAGGTTGGCCATGCTCAGCACCCATGTTTGACATGCAAATATGAGTGTCTCTCCAAATCAAATTCTAACCTTAAATTATTATAAGAGATTAGCATATGAAAAAAAATGCTATAATCCATAATAAGTCAATACCCTGTCAAGATCAGTGTGTGTGAGAGCCACATGGTCATTACATGCTATACAATTTCCCAGAGCAGATAATCTTTCTTCTATACGTTGAACAACAACTTGATCAGGTAGACTGTTTCTCAAATGTTGAAGCTCTTCAGCAATAGCAACAGTAAAAGAGATCAAGCAACACAAGTCCATAAGTCAGTAAAATATCACAACTGGTGCTGAGTTTTATATCATCAATAAAGATGACACAATAGATATACCATAAAAGAGGAAAATAATACTACTTAATAATCCTAGACAGTATATACCATAAAGATCATTTTCATACTAAAAGAGACAAATAAACTGATCAAACCACAGCTAAAGAATGAAAACAAATAAAATTGGAAGGGCTAAACCCAGGTTGTCAGAGATCCAGATTCCCAAATGCTTGCAGGCAGCCAAACAAAAGTTCAGAATCAAAGTAGGGGACTAGGGGGTACCCTGTTTATAATTTGGTGACTAAACTGATATATTTATGCACAAGCCACAGAAATGATCATACCATCATACATAGAAATTTTCGTAATCATATCAGTGCTAACAGCACTCAACATCATTGTTCAAATTCCAAGAAACATTCAAAGAGTTCCTTAGAGTGAATCACCAATGAATACCTTCAAATTATCCGGCAATTAAAATTTGTTTTCATACTGTTGTGGAGAAGGAGACAAATTAGAAATAGGACCACGTGTATAGCACATTAAAATACAGTACTACCAAAAAGTCTCTGTCAAAAAATTTAAAAAGTTTAATCATTTTATAAAATGAACTTTCAAAACCAAGTATCTATGAGGCCTTGGCATTGGAAAATCAAAGACTACAGCACCAACTTCTCATCACTCTTATTCCCATCACAAAACGTGAAGGTGTTTAGTATGGTAGACTGTAGATGAACTCGTTGACAAACAGAACCTTATACTAACTGGTTTTTCCTTTGTCAACTGAAAAGGCATGTACACTCGTACACATATGTTTAACCATTTACGATGCCAAAAAATTGAGGTTAGATTAGTTTGACGGTGCCATTTAAAAAGAAAGGTTGGAGTACTTGATGACCAATAATAATAAGTTGTTTTTTCCTCTAGAAGGTAGTGGTTAGGGGGGGGGGAGGTTGCAAATATGCTTTCACAGGAAGTAATGCATGACATTAAAATAGCACCAAACAGTACCATGAATAAAAAAACAAAAGAATAATAGGAATCACCTTGGTCTGTGGTGGTATGGGGCAAGAGAAGCCCATTCTTGTTTCCTGCAAACCAATAGAAAGGTAAGGTAATTAGGCGATGTCTAAATCTAATGAGTGAAAAAATGAATAAATAAAATAAATTAATGTAATTGTCTCTTTATTCTTTTACTAAAGGAAGAAAATGTCACTTCAAGAGAAAGCTTGAAGTCATCACTTAAAAAGCAATGCTAGAGATCCAATTTGGATAAATTTCTCAAGAAGTACTTGTAATAGAAGAAAATAAGAAGTTAAATGAATCAAAATTTTCTCCCCATGTTAAACAATTTTAGATGCAAGAAATGATACTAATTAAGATTTAAGAAACTAAGGGAAAAAACTTTACCAACACAAAGACGACCAACAATACGAGTGCCACCGATGGAGGTCTTAACCACTGGGATAACATCTGCTAACTCAGCCTCAAATGCACTGTATCAAACAACACATTAATTTACTCATATGAAGAAATGTTATGGCAATTTCCATACATTTGCAACCAAGCACAAAAAGTTTAAATCTACAAGGGGATGAATTTTCACTAGCCCAAAAAGAACGAAAACCTGTAGAAGTTTTCAGAACCTCCAATGGCAACCAAACAGTAGGCATTTGTAAGCTTTGAGAAGACTCCAACTTCACAATTGTTCTCAAACTGAAGTCCTGCAGGAAACACGCAATTATAGAGTATATTATTTAAATGAGAAAAAAACAGTATTTTCCACAAAAGATCTTATACCAAGAGATAAGATATATTGGCTATTTAAAATAACCGATATGAACAAATTCCTTAGAAATCGCAGGCTAAACAACAGGATAAATGTAAATGTATCATCACTCACTAGTTGCCATGACAGAGATGCTAGAAATATTTGACCCGAGTAACTAGCTTAATATCTGCAGTATTAGATATCTAGTTAGAAAAACAAAAGAAAGGAACCATGATTCATATGAGAACAAATTGTAGCAATGACAAGTGATAACAATAAACAATTAAGCACTCAAATGTTAAAGTTGATGATGAGAATCCTGATAATGAAGGGATTCAGTTTCAAGCAATTATCAACACTCTCTCCTACTAAGCTGCAAAATACCCCTTTGATTTTGCAAGCAGCATAGAACAAGTGACCAACCCAACAAGCTACAACTCAAGTAACAAACTTGCACTGTATGATAGGTGGAGGACCCACGTAGAAGTAGAACCAAGGCTATCTAATCCTAATCTATGACTAAGCATCAAGCTTCATGCACATACATAAGGTTGAAACTCCTCAACATCATTCCCCAACACTATGTCAACAAAAAGATAATAAATTTACACTCAAAAATCCCAAACACAAAATGGGTATATGGGTTACCTGGACAGAGAGAGGATCAAAGCGGAAGAGAAAGCAACACAACACAACAACAAAGTGTAGGGTACCGCCGAACCTAGTCAATTTCATAATATAAATAAAAATACTATTAAAATTTAAAAGGTTCAAAAAAAAAAAAACACGTAAATAAGGCCCAAAATAATGCTTCCCTAACAAGATATTTTATGGCCTTCGAATATCATATCTGTGTAGCATAACATAACTGCATAAAGAGATAAATAAAGAAAGCTCGGATAAGATGTAGAAAATGAATTATTTAACGATTAATTATAAGCTTGTAGGTTCTTTTCTAAAGTTGATTGTGATAAAATTACTTTTTTAATTTAAATATATTAACTAAAAGTAAATTATCTAAATTACTTTTAAGTAATTTCTTTCCCAAAATTGATATGAATGTGATGCATTATCGATTATATTGATGATTAGTTGATTAAAAAATTTGTCTAATTAATGAATTTCAAATTCCAACAACATTTAAATAATAATTTTGATCGCATAAAAAAATCATATCAAGATCATTTAATATTTGCAAATACTAAGATTACTCTTTAACTGGGAAATAAATATAAATCCTATTTTTAAAATACTTCTTATATTTAAAATATAATTTTTTAACCCTTATTTTTCCAAGTAATGTATATTTATGTATTTGATATTATTTATTGATGAAACGAGCTAAAAAAAATATTTTCTTAAAATAAGGTCTAATATGATTGGAGTTTTATCGATGAAAATGTAGGTATTGAGAGAATCTAATTATCTGAATTCTAATATAATTTCTGAATATTATGCCTAAGATATAAAGGTGTTTCTTAATTAGATTTAGTATATTAAAAATAGTTTTATAATACTATTTGTTGGAGGTTAAAATATCATTTTGAAGAAAATCTTGAAATTATAACCTCTGCAGAAAAAAGGAAAAGTTGTCTGTACTTTGTAGAGAAAAAAAAAAAAAAAAGATCAACAACTTCTAATTTCATAACTAAAAATATAATGGAAATGTGTTTGTTTTCTAGTTAAACTTCTAAATTAATTTTTGAAAACTTTATAACATTTAGCTTATCAAGTTGTCAACTCTTCAAAAGACCAAATATGTGTTTAATATATTTCATTCTAGAGAAATAATCATTTATTTTTACCAGATTTTAAGAGAATTTTTCGAAAACAGGTATTTATTTCCTCAAAAATATTTATTTCCAAACAGATACCAATTATATATATAAGAAAAGAGAAAACTAAAAGACCTTGCCAACAAGTAGGACAATATTGGGATGACAAACATATCTGTACTCGCGGGTAATACCCAAACTCGTCCCGATTTTGACGGAGAATATCCGGTTTGACCGGATACGGGTATGTACTTACCTATCCCGTACCCGTACCCGTTCCTGTTCTCATTTTTAATTTAATACTCACTTTCAATTTAATTATATTAAAAAAATTTAATATTTTTTTATGTGTGATTATTTATTATAATATAAGATAAAAAAAAATAACCTAATTATAATATAATAAAAAAATAATTTAAAAATATCATATTTTTTATAATAAAAAAAAATTTGACAGGTACGGGTACGGGTATACCCCGATTCTCGACGGGGACGGAAATTAGGATGAAAATCTATACCCGACGGGTATGGGGACGGGTACGGGGATGGGTTTAACTTGTGGGGACGGGACGAGTATCATGAAACCCGTACCCGACCCGCGCCCGTTGCCATCCCTAGACAACATTGTTGCTTATTGAAAAATATAAGGGGTTAAAAATAAGACACAATTATATTTAATTATATTCATAAGCATATGAATTTTAATTAAAAGAAATATTGAAATATGAGTGTATTTAAAAAAAATTATGAAAATTATATTATTTTGATAATCAACTATTGTTATAATTGATTATAATTAAATTAAAAAATTTATTTAAATAAATTTATTGATAAGTGGTCTTAAGATTTAATTTTGTTTGAATTTGAATACAAATAAATAAATAAATATATATATATATATAGTAAATCAAATTAAAAAAATGTTGAAAAATAATGATAAGTCTCAATTTTTTGAATTCATAAAAACAATTTATTTTTACGTGCAGAATTTTTGGTCTTAGAGGATAGTTTATCGCTTTGTTGGAAAGGTGAGTTCGGAAGGTGAGTTGTTAATGCGATTATCTGGGAACAGTAAAAATAATCCATGAACAGTTAATGAATAGGGATTGATTTCATAAGCATTATGATATTGTTCGTTGTATTAAACGGATGTTAGATTGGAATTGGGATGTTTACATGAGTCATATCCCTTGAGAGATAAATTTAGTGACACACACTCTAGCTAATTGGAGTGTTAAGAACTTGGTTTTCAATTCAATGTATTTTAGAAGAGTTCTATAAACTTCGTCCTTTTAACGTTAGAGAGACTCAGTGTCCTGCCTGCTTGTAATATTGTCTTGTTTTAGTTTTTCATATTTAAGCAAAAATAAATAAAACATTATAATCTCATTTTTAATTTAATACTCACTTTCAATTTAATTATATTAAAAAAATTTAATATTTTTTTATGTGTGATTATTTATTATAATATAAGATAAAAAAAAATAACCTAATTATAATATAATAAAAAAATAATTTAAAAATATCATATTTTTTATAATAAAAAAAAATTTGACAGGTACGGGTACGGGTATACCCCGATTCTCGACGGGGACGGAAATTAGGATGAAAATCTATACCCGACGGGTATGGGGACGGGTACGGGGATGGGTTTAACTTGTGGGGACGGGACGAGTATCATGAAACCCGTACCCGACCCGCGCCCGTTGCCATCCCTAGACAACATTGTTGCTTATTGAAAAATATAAGGGGTTAAAAATAAGACACAATTATATTTAATTATATTCATAAGCATATGAATTTTAATTAAAAGAAATATTGAAATATGAGTGTATTTAAAAAAAATTATGAAAATTATATTATTTTGATAATCAACTATTGTTATAATTGATTATAATTAAATTAAAAAATTTATTTAAATAAATTTATTGATAAGTGGTCTTAAGATTTAATTTTGTTTGAATTTGAATACAAATAAATAAATAAATATATATATATATATAGTAAATCAAATTAAAAAAATGTTGAAAAATAATGATAAGTCTCAATTTTTTGAATTCATAAAAACAATTTATTTTTACGTGCAGAATTTTTGGTCTTAGAGGATAGTTTATCGCTTTGTTGGAAAGGTGAGTTCGGAAGGTGAGTTGTTAATGCGATTATCTGGGAACAGTAAAAATAATCCATGAACAGTTAATGAATAGGGATTGATTTCATAAGCATTATGATATTGTTCGTTGTATTAAACGGATGTTAGATTGGAATTGGGATGTTTACATGAGTCATATCCCTTGAGAGATAAATTTAGTGACACACACTCTAGCTAATTGGAGTGTTAAGAACTTGGTTTTCAATTCAATGTATTTTAGAAGAGTTCTATAAACTTCGTCCTTTTAACGTTAGAGAGACTCAGTGTCCTGCCTGCTTGTAATATTGTCTTGTTTTAGTTTTTCATATTTAAGCAAAAATAAATAAAACATTATAATTTTTTTCTATAAAATTTTGGTGGCCATGCTTACTATTGAACACACATTTGTAATGGGTTGACACAATCTTTGGCTTAAGTGTGATTCCATATTAATTTTAGATGTTTATTCTAATGTTAATATAGCTCCTTGTCATTTTGTAGTAGATGAAAACATTGCATAAAATTATACTTTTCAATTTCTTTCAAGAGATTGCATATTTTTCGAAAAAATAATCAATGTGTGGATGTGTTAGTTAGATGTAGTTTAGCAAATAGAGGTGATTTTGTTTAGTGGAATGTTTTGCCTACTTTTATTATGAAAGTTTTTTTTGGAACCGTTGTGGTTTATCTTCTTTTAAATTTTGTTATTTTTTCATGAGCTTTGGTTTAACTCCACATGTTTTTGTTTCAAAATTTATATTTGTTTATTTTTTTAGGTGTGAGGTGTGAGGTTAGTAAGTCTTGAGGTGTCAACCTAGAAGTTGAGATTTATTTGTCCTATTATGATGTCATGATCACTTAAGCGATCACTGTGCA